TGGGACTGAAAAACTCCACCTACATTTTTTCCCTTCCTTCCCCTCCCCTCCCTTTCTCTCCCCTTCCTTCCCTTCCCTTCCCTGTCTTCATTTATATGACAAAATTGGAGTGACTCCTGCATTTTCAGCTAGACCATGACTGTATCATGTACAGTAGGGTGCTCTGCTTGATGAAATCCTGACATTTATTGTCTTACACTTCTTGTTTGTTTGATTGGTTAGTTGGTTGATTTGGGGTTTGTTTTGTTTTTTTGGGTTTTTTTTGTTTGTTTGTTTTGTTTTTGGGTGTGTGTGTATGTGTGTTTTGTTTTGTTTTTGTTTATGTTTTTGTTTTTGTTTTTTGAGATAGGATATGTAGCCCTAGCTGGCCTCAAACTTAAATTTCTTACATTCCCACTCATGAGTCCTGGGATGTGATAGTTTTTCATGCAATGAAAAGCAAAAACTGGTACCCATGTTCAGAGGAGAAGGCACTGATTTCAATCCAATCACCTTTCAATAAGGAAATATAACACTGTGTTCTATAATGTTCCTTTGGGGATTTAATTTTCTTCAGTTCTAGTCAGAGCATGGTTCTAAAGTGAGGAAGTCATGTAACTTCTCTGTGTTTGTTCCCTCATCTGTAAAATGAGTAACCGTATCTGCTTAGCATTGCTATGAGGGACTCAGCCTCTTGGTGCCAACCCAAGGAGTACCTAAGTCTTCCCGATGCTCCTCTCAGCCTTTCCTTCCAGCCTGTCCTCATTCCCTTGTTACTCCTTTGACCTGTAGAACCACTCTTCCAAGGATCCACAGCCTCTGCACTAGGCTGGGAGTCAGGTAGGCTACCTTTATCCTCCTTCTCCTTCTTGTTCTTTATTCAGGTCTCTCCAGACTTACTCTTAGTCCTGATGCAACCTGCCCGCCTGAGCCCCTCCTCCCAGCCCACCTCCACCTCTTCGGGATTTGGCCTCTTGCTTTGGACTGAGTATAACTCTAGTTCTTTCTCACTGTTCCTTTCAGATTTCTGCCCCATCTCCATCCTTTTGTGACTCCCTGGCAACCAGAAGAACAGCTCTCCACCAGGGACTCCACAGCTGCCACACTTGGCTGAGACCCAGAATCATTCACTCTCAGGTAGGAACCCCACAGTCACCATACTTGGCTGGGGCTCAGAGTGGGCAACAGCAACCAAAAAACAGAATATCCATCAACACAGTCAAGACCAGATATCCACACCAAGGAACATTCCAAACATTAGAGCTCAAGGAAGTTATATGCCTAAATATCACTGAATTAAAAAAAAAAAAAAAAAAAAAAACATGACCAACCAAGACAATATGCCTGCATCAGATACTATACTGTAATAGACTCTGAGAAAATCAATTTATCTGAAGCACAAGACAAGGACTTCAAAATAACAATTACGAGTATGTTCAAGGAGTGTATGAATAAATCCCCCAATCAAAATACAGGCAGTTGAATAAAATAATAAAAACATGCAAGATGTGAAAGTAGAACTCAACAAAGAAATAGAATCACAAAAGAAAATCTAAACTGAGGTAAAACTGGGAATGAAAAACACAGGATACCAAAACAAAAACTACACAGAGAAACACTGGAGTTAAAAAATATGATAAATTACTGGGCATGGTGGTTCATGCCTTTAATGTCAGCACTTGGGAAACAGAGTCAGGCAGATCTTTGTAAATTCAAGGCCAGTCTGGTCTATAGAACAAGTTCCAGGACAGCCAGGTCTATTACACGGAGAAATCCTGTTTGGGGAAGTCATAAATCAAATTGACCTAACAGGTATCAGAAATCTAAAGAACACTACGCCCAAACACTAAAGAGTATGCTTTCTTCTCAGAAGCCAAAGGAATGTTCTCTAATTATTAGGATATAAAACAAGTTTCAAGAGATACCCAGATCTTATCTTACTGTCATGGACTAAAGACGGACATCAACAACCATAGAAAGGGCAGAAAGTACACAAATTCATGGAAGCTGAACAGTTCACTGCGGAATGAAAATCAGGCCAAGACAGAAATCAAGAAGGAACTTTAAAACTTTTTATAATTGAATGAAAATGAATACAAAACATGCCCAAATTTATGGAACACAAGGAAGGCAGTTCTAAGAGGAAAGCTAAAAGCACTAAGTGTCTACATTAAAACAACACCACCACCACCCTGGAAAAGCTCATTAATAAATTAAAGACACACTTAAAAACTCGAGGATAGCAACAAGAAATAACACCCATGCCTCGTGACCAGGATTACTTGGCTAACTTAATTGTATTTTTTGTCAAATATTTGTCTCATTTTGCTTTGTGCATTTTTATGTTATTGGTCTTTTGCTTATAGATAACAAGGTAAAAGAGGGAATATGGGGAGGGGCAACCAACATATATGAAAAGCCATATAGAAATCTAATATGATAGACACTTGCTAAATATAAACATAATTAAAAGGAATTTAAGTGGGATTACCATATAATGGGGGAGACAGTGCCCCAACTATTCATCTTTTGCCAACAAGTAAAACCTCCAGTGCAAGGAATGAGTTACATTTTGTTGAGTTGTTGGCAAAAAGGGTCCCATAGACAAACCCCAACTAGCACACGCTATCATCAAGGCTATTGGTTAGTCTCCATAACCTGGTGGTAAGGCCCTGTTGCTGAAGGCACAGCTTACTTTTGTCATTGAACAAGGAATATTGAGCAGGCGCCCAACTGGAAGCTTCGCCTCTCCTGACTAGTGCTCATGGTGCTAGAAAGTACTTGGCTTACTCCTGGAGGAGAAAAGTTATCAGCTACAAACCCTGTGATCGGCCTGCAAGACACGCTGGTGCAATCATGGCACAAATGTTATAGGATCCCATTCCATGAAACAAAACCCATGCCTGACCCTGCTGAAGTCACTAAGACCTGAGACGAGATAGGCCAAGGGCCCCAGGGGAAACGCTAATACTATTACTCTGCTCAAGGAACATAGCAACAAAATGACTCCTAATGGCATATTGCTATACTTATAGATTAGAGCATCATTTAACCCTCATCAAAGGAATTTCTTCTTGCAATGGATGGGAACTAACACAGACAATGTGCATAGAGTAATAGCCCTCTATTTGGATCACCGAGCCCTACATGGGATGTCTTTATTAAGTCCCTCCCCTCAAGGCTCAGGGATCTACACAGGAGAGGAGGTGGAAGGATTGTAAAAACCAGAGGTTGTGGTGACTCCAAGAAAACAGTGTCTTCCAGACACAACAGGCCTGATACACACAGGAACTCACAGAGACTGTGGCAGCGTGCACAAGGCCTGAGCAGTTTCAACCCGGACAAAAATCCCAGCACTGAGAAGGGGAGGGAGACATGGAGTCCCTTCCCTAACTAAGAAGCTGTTTGCAACTGATGCCTGCTAGGTAAGGGAAACTCCATTTTCTCAATGGAGTATTTCTGGGTATGTGGACCACATTCCAGGCCAAGCCTCATGTCCAGGAGAAGTTGGTTAACACAAAACAGGCTGTGTTTTGTTTTTGTTTGAGACTGCTTGAGAAATAGTTTCTGGGTAGCTTAAGTAACTTAAGTGGTACAAAGTTTGTTTTGTTTTGATTTGTTTTGTTGTTGTTGGTGGTGGTGGTGGTGTTTTTGTTTTGTTTTTTACTTTTTGGTCTTAATGGGTTTTTTGTTTGCTGTTTTTAGTTTGTTTTGATTTCATTTTTTGTTGTTTTTTAGGAGTTTGGGGATTTTTTTGGAGAAAGGGGAGAGAACATGAAGTTGTGTAGACAGGAAGATAGGAGGATCTGGGAGTAGTTGGAGGAAGGGAAAGAATATGATCAAAATATATTTTATGAAATAAATTTAAACAAAAAATTAATTAATTAATAAAAAGATTGCTGTAAGGGCTGAATGAGAAATCCATGTCAAATGGACTCAATTCTTAAATACAACTGCTTCAGTCTCACTGAATGCTGAATCATTCTTTCTGGACTTTAACAAAATCAATAGCTAGTTCTCAGACTTTCTGAGAGGAAATTTCCCCTTGGTTTAGTATATCTGGACCAGATAAGAACCATGGATGAAAAAAATGACATAAAGGAAATTCTTATTGGCTTTCCTTGTTCCTAAGGGAACTCTAGGCACAGAGCAAATCTGCTATGGTTACCAGTCACACTCAGTCTCCATGCACATGACTTTGGGAAAATTGACTTTGACAATTGACTTTTCACAACAAACAATTAACTTCCTGTTAATAATGTGTATGTGTTGGGGGTGACACCCACGCCAGGTCTTGTATGTGCAAAGCATTCTCTCTGCCTTGGAGCTGTACTTCCACCCGAGTCTGAAGAACTCTTTGTAGCTCTTCTATTTACACTGAATAGAATAGGAGCCTGGAAAGGACTAGCTACTGTCGACAAGGGCCACCTACCTCTTAAGCATCTATGAATGCTTCTTTAGCATAAACTCAGATGGCAATGCTGCCCTGGGAATTGGGGGGGATACAAAATTTCTTTATATATTTATTTTTTTCAATGTAGCATCATAAAGATGAATTTGTATGATTCAATTAATAGGTCCACAAGTGTAAACATCTAGGAATGCTTTAGAAAGATAACCTGATCATAATTGCCCTTGTCTTCAAACCTTAGAGTCATCTTAGAAAGAAAGAAAGAAATCTTTGGCTTATTATAATGTTCTATTAACAGTTCAAAGTAATTTTGAATTAAAGCAATTTTTTTTCTCCTGATGTCTTAAAACAATATATCATTTCTCTATCCAAAATTTTCTACAACAAGTACGGCTAGACAATTGGTAAATGTTGAAACCAGCTCTTAAGGGATAAAACGCTTTGATGTATAACATTTGTCAATTTCCGTGGTATAGATTCAAGCATTGCTGGTTTCCAGTAGCCAAAAGATAGTTCTCAACAATCAGCTCTGAGCAGGTCTGTACAGTAATCGGCTCTAATGAGCCAGTATGGCTGTCTCCAACAGAGCACTGTCATTGTGCCAACTCACCTAGGAGCTGTCTTTCAAGCACAGTCTCAGGGAACAATATGCCTTTGAAGCCAGGCATACAGTGTAGTCCAGAGTTCGAGACTGGATCCTTCCATGGATATAGAAGTCATCCAATGAATGTAGTTGGCTTTGATTTGTATGAAAATTGTGGTGTGAGTCTTTTCTTTATGGCTTCTGCTCTTCCCACATCAGACCAGCTTGATAAATCAATTAAGAAACATTGGTAATGATGATAATATAGGTCAAAGATGGTTCCAGGAGATTTGCCAAGGCCCTCAGTGATGTGACTTCTTGGTAGAGTTCCAAGAGTACCTATCTGATTCCCTGTCAGCAGTACATTATTGACGATGCCTTCTGTGGTCACATTGGCTCCACATTATTGAAGTTGAAGCTATTCATAAGTGTGAGGAGCCGCCGCCTTGAAAAACAGGTAGCGCTGTTATTAGAGCCAACTGCTACAAGAAATCCGATCTAAAGTCCCTCATGGGGTATGTCAAGGCAGTGGAGTAGCACACATTAAGTGTCATGGACAGAAGTGACCCTTGGTGCAAGCAGCTGGGATGGCAGACCTCCCTTCTCTCTCCAGAATATTCCCCAGGATATGAGGAGATTCCAGTTCAAGGATATTGAAATTGGAGATGAATAATTGGCTGTATCGTACCCATTCCCCCCGATTCTATGAAACTCCTACTGCCTGTGGACTGGTCCATATCAGCTTACATCATTTCTTCCCTTTCCACACCGAATCGGCTCTGGAGGCTTGATAGCTCCCCCATCTCTCACACCTCTTATGGGCAAACAGGTACTTCTTTCTCTGGCTAAGAATAAAGAGACAGAAAAAATTCTCAGTGCAGGAAGAGCTTGGATGACATTCCAGAGCCAGCTCCTGGAATCTGTTGAACCGGACGCAAAGTTTCCAGGCGGTACCTCACGGGACACCGTGTTTCCTGTGACAGCAGTGACGATGAAGGGCCATGTGCTCTGTATCCTGCTAACAAGGAACCACTTCACAGAATTAGGGAAGGAACGCGGAGAAAACGTGTGGTGAACCGAACTGCACAGATGTTGTCTCTTGCATGCTGAGGTCCCCGACGGTTCGTTGCTTAACCCAGATCTTCCTCTTAAGCACTGTGTGCTCTCCCATGCTGATGCTTAATATTGATGAGTCTGTCTCCATGAGACAATTTGGCATTGGAGTAGCATCCTGTTCTCAGGACCATTCCAGAGGTTGGTATACAGGATCACATGCCCACAAATAAAGCAACTAAAATTTGAGGGGATTCAAAAGCTAACAAACCGAAAACATCTGAATTCCTATCATTTGTATCTTTTCACTCCAACTGCTATGATGCAACTCTGTCACGCGAGCGACACGGGGCTCCAAAGAAGGTCCAGGGACAGTTTCTGGTAAGATAATGGACTGGAAGTGGCCTTTTGGTGACCTGGGTAAGAAGAGTCCACGTAGGAAAGAACAGTTTATTCCAAAGACCGAATGGGGGAGAACTTTGAAAATTCACTAAAGTAATCACAGAACCACTGGAAAGTGCCAGGAAAAAGACAGAGCATGGGGGGAGAGGGAGGGGAGAGAGAATTGGCCAAACAAAACTCGGCTCCAGCCTCCAACCCCCTTCGTGAACGGAGGAGAAGCAGATGCCTCATCCAAGAGGTAAGCCAGGCAGCCATGGTGAAGAGGACAGCCATGCACCCACCCTCCAGAGGAGCCCACCAGAGTCCTCAGGAGCCTCAAATCCAGTCGCTGGCTTTGGTAAGACAGTGATTCCTCTGGCCGTGGGTCAGCGGTAGAGAGGAATCCCATTTTGTCACTCTGTATAACTCAGCAGGCAGTGTTCAGTTATCTGAGAGAGAAGCTACTGTTTAAACCTCATCTGCCCTGGAATGTGAAAACGAGGACCCACCACAGGCCAGGGAACCAGACTTTAACCTGCTTCAAGCTCCAGGGTGAGAGACGACCCTGGGAGACAGCTTTGGAAAGGAGGGTCAGTCCCTGGGAGAAAGTGCAGGTGCCCAGGGGCTCCACTCCGGCAGAGAGAGGCCCTGGCAAAGGCTCTCTGCCCTCCGTGTCTGGGAGCAGACCTAGTTATCCGGGGAGAGTCAGCCGAACCCACCTGTGGTCGCTGCTGGAGAGCATGCGCACATGCCCACAACTGCATCTTCCTCGCACTGAAACGAGCCCCTTTCCGCTTGTGCTGACCTCAGACCTGCCGGTGACTCCCTGCAGACCCAAAGCACTGGAGAGACACCCTCAGCTAAAACACTAGCCACTCCAGGGGGAGTCTCTGGGCGAGATATGCCTGTCAAGCCCATAAATTGCAAAGATTTTAATTTTTTTGTCCCTTTTAAAAAAAATTCAGTTCTTTCCCATTTCCCTGCCTCTTTCTTCTACCTCTCCCAACTACTATTTCCACATTTACTTAAAATAGTTTGTGATTTTATAACCCATCCTATACTAGTTTTTTCGTATTTTGTGATCGTTGGCGACACATTTGTGGGTATTAATTGATTTTCAGTGAATTTCTAGTACTTATGCACCTTGACATTATTACTACTGTAGGAGTTTGGATTTTGTTTCTTTTTTTTTTTTTTTTTTTTTTTTTTTTTTTTTTTTTTTTTTTTTTTTTTTTTCACTTTCTGAGTAGAGAGCAGGTTCTGGGTAAAGATCCAGAGATAGGGACTGGAGACATGGCTCACCGGTAGAGAGCACTTGTTGGTTTTGTAGAGGATGTGTGCTTGGTTGCCAGTACTTACCTGGTGGCTTACAACCATTCTATAGACAAATTTCTAAATCGTCATATTAAATAAAAAACACGGAGCCAAATATAGGGGTGAAAGTCTTAGAGAGATCAGGGAAATAGGGAGAGCCACCAGCCAACTTAACCTCACCAACTCTGCAGCTTCCAAATTTGAGGTACTTCCTGTCTACCCAAGTCTTTATTGCCTTGCTGTTCTGCCCTCTCATTGGCTATCTTAGCCCAGCTACCTCACTTTCTTGTCACTGTCTGTCTGTACAGACCTCCAGGTCTCTATGATTGGTACTGGGATTGTGTGTCACCACACTTGACTGTTCGTCTGTATGGCTTGAACACACAGAGACCCTGCCTGATAAGTGATCAGATTAAGGGCATGTGCTGCTTGGCTTCTTGCTTACTTAAAATGGCTGGCCTTTCCCCCTGATCTCCAGGTAAGCTTTATTAAAGCACAAATGAAATATCACCACACCATCCTTAACATCACTCCAGTTCAGAGAATTGGTGCCCTCTTCTGACCTCCATAGGACCAGGCATGTACGTGGTGCACTTACATACATGCAGGCAAAACACTCATATACATAAAACAAAAATAAATAAAATGAAAAAAAAATTAAAGCCCCACCAAATAAAGCTAGACATGACAGCTAAGCCAACCGATGTGCAAATTGTATCATGAAAACACACAAAAAAAATACTTAAACGCAAGACCTGACAAAATTCTCCAGAAGGAGATACCTTCTCCACTTCTGAATCCAAAGGTTCTAAAATGGGTAGGATGCCAGCTAGAGATTTCAAATCTTACTAGTAAAACTGACCTCTGACCTCAAAGATACAACTGGATGAATTAAATACAAGACCCAGAGAGTAAGTTCAGCAGCAACACAGAAAAAAAAAGCTCATAAAATGGATTTTTTAAAAGAAGAAAGAAAGGAAGGAAGGAAGGAAGGAAGGAAGGAAGGAAGGAAGGAAAGAAGGAAGGAAGAGAGAGAGAAAGAAAGGAAGGAAGGACGGAAGGAAGGAAGGAAGGAAGGAAGGAAGGAAGGAAGGAAGGGAAGGAAGGAAAAGAAAAAAGGCTAATAGTATGGATGAACAATCAACAAGGCTACGGTAATACACTTTTCTGAAAATATCTCTTGACTCCAAAGAGGCTGAACTTTTGCTGGACCTTGCAGCCAAGTTAATAATATGCAAAACATATAAAAATATGAAAACATAGAGAGAGAGCAAGGCCTTTTGCTGAGGTCAGGCAGAAGACACAGGGGTTTTAAGTGGAGAATTTAAACCTATACTTGCTCTTGGTCAAACTACTTCAAGAGAACGTGGCTTTATTTTTATTCCTTAATACATTATGAATGCAGAAGAAAATTGAATTTTTGAAAAAGACAGAAATGCTAGAAAAGAAAGACTGAGTGGATCAAATAACACAGAGGAAAGCATCACGGACAGACTCAACCAAGAAGAGAGAGAGTATCAAGGATCAAAGACAAAGGTAAGGGTATTCTACATTCCAATGCCAATCAAAACGCAAACACGAGCATGACCACCAAGTCCAAGGACTCTGGGATGTGATAGAGAGAACAACCCTCAGACTCTAGTGGGTAGAAGGAGCTGAGATTACAAACTATGGACTGTCCAACAAAATTATGGCAGAAACTTCTCAAAACTAGATAAAGAAATAGACATTCAAACATAAGAAGCATTTATAATCCCAAATAGACATGGCCAGAGAAGAACTTCCCCCACAACGTATTATAATCAATAAGTCAAAAATATAAAGCAAAAAAAAAAAATTAAGATCTCTAAGGGAAAAACACTAAGTTGCCCATAAAGGCCAATGGAATAACACCAGCTGTCACACTAGCAACCCTAAAAGCCAGAAAACCATGGAGTGGGGCCAGAGAGATGACTCAGTGGTTAAGAGCATTGACTGCTCTTCCAGAGGACCCAGGTTCAATTCCCAGCACCCACAGGGCAGCTCACAGCTGTCTGTAACTCCAGTTCCAGGGGACCCGACACCCATGGCAAAACACCAATATACATAAAATTGAAAAAAGTAGAATAAAAAAGAAAACCATGGAGTAATATAGCCCTGAAAGCATATAACCCAACCAAAATGTTACCTCCAGCAAAGTTCTCTCTTAAATTGGTAGAGAAATAAGGATATCCCAAGACAAGCACACACTAAGGCAGTTCATAACTACCAACGTACAGCTGCTGAAGACAGTTTAACTATAGAATATTATACAGAGAGCAGGAAGAAAGACTGAATAATGACAGCACAGAGAAGAATAAAGTTCATGAGGGAAAAGTGCAACAAAGGAAAGCTGGAAATGAATTGATCATGTGTAACGTAGTAAACTAGAAAAATCCAGCAGTATAGGGACAACAGAAAGAACAGGGCTGGAAATGGGCTCCGAATTTAGGAGCACATGCTGCTCTTCCAGAGGACCCTGGTTTGATTCCCAGCATCCACATGGCATCTTCCAACCATCTGTAACTCCAGTTTTAAATCTTGCCTCCCAAAATGGGGCAGAAAAATGGATTTCTGCCGCCTGGCTCCACCAATTCAACAAACAACTTCAAATCTATACCTCTGAGTATAGATTTACAGGATCCATAGCAAAGGTATCTTTTGAATCTCACTGCAATCATGACATTCAAATGACCCGATCATGCAGCTATAGAATTCAGATCAGTTTAAAGACAGTCCACCGATGCAAAGTGCAGCTTAAATAAGGATGGAGAATCTATGGGCATATGCAGCGTCCTTTGATAACTAAGTTTGTCTGAAAAATTTCAACACTGTTGTAAAACTTGCACAAGCCGTCACTCTGAGAGACTGCCACACGACTCAGCTTAGTGTCTCTGTCAGATCACTTTGCCGGAAGCCATGGATATTTGCTAAAGTGAAGGACAGGTGCTGGGACTAAGGGCTATGGAGCCTGGGCTCTGAAGGCTGGTGGTTGCCGAGCAAAAGAAGCATGGGTGAGAGGCTCAGAGGCAATTTGGGGAAAAGAGGGGCACTGGAGATACACCATAGAAGTGCTGGACACAGGGAAGAGGCTCTTCTGATCTTTGAGGGCTCCAGGCATGCATGTGGTACATATACATACATGTAAGCAAAACGCTCATATACATAAAATAAAATAAACCTTTAAAAATGAAAACAATACAGCCAACCAGAAAACAACAAATAAAATTACTGGAATTAGTAAACACAGCAGTTCATGTAACTGCCTTTAATGTAATTGCCATAAATGGCAAGTAAAGAGATGCAAACTGGCTGCCTGGATTAAAAACCAAGACCAACTATTGCCTAAAAAAAAAAAACAAAAAAAAAAAAAAAAAAACACGCCTCATTGGTAAAAACACCCATAGACTTGACAGCCAAAGTGTAAAAGCCAGTCTTTCCAGCTAGTAGAAGCTGAGAACAAGCTGGTGTGGTAAGTCTGAGATTTAATAGTGAAGATTTCAGATTGAAATTAGTCAGAAGAGATGATGAATGTGACTGCCTGTTAATAAAGGGAAAAAAATCATCAAGAAGAAATAACAACTGTAAATACA